GGCCATCCTACAATACCCTCGTCCGGGAACGATCGTCAAGCTGCGCCGATTTCTAGGGCTCGTAAATTATTACCGGTGGTGTGTACCGAGAGCGGCTGCTATCCAGGCCCCGCTGAACGAGTTCCTGAAGGATTCAAAAAAGAATGACAAGCGACCGGTACCCTGGACACCAGAGACTGAGGAAGCGTTGAACAGGTGCAAACAAAGTATCGCCGACGCTGCGTTAACGGCTTTCCTTTCTCCAAGTGCGCCGCTTCGACTAACGACGGATGCTTCCGACTTCCCAATGGGAGCTTCTATTGAACAATTAGACGGGGTCTGGAGACCCGTGGGATTTTTTTCCCGAAAACTATCAACAACTGAACGAAAGTACAGTACCTACGACAGGGAACTACTGGCCGTGTTTTCAGCAACGAAGTTCTTCCACCATATACTCGACGGCCGAAGCTTCGTTATCCGCACGGACCACAAACCTTTAGTCTACGCGTTCCATAGAAAATCGGAAAAGGCATCGGACAGACAATTACGCCAAACGGATTATATTGCTCAATTCAACACAGAGATCGTCTACCTCAAAGGAGACGAGAATGTGGTAGCTGATGCATTGTCACGGATCCAAGATATCAACCAAATCAACATGCCAAAGGTCTTATCGGCGAGGGAAATCGCAGACGCGCAGGAAGCCGACGACGAACTGCGATACCTGATCGAGGACGGGTCGCGCTGGCCGGAAGCTGTTCCCATGCAAAATATTACAGCGGACACGGTAGCATCCATGTTTTTCACTCACTGGATCTCCCGATTCGGCACACCACTCACGATAACGACGGACCAAGGCAGTCAATTTGAATCTGCGTTGTTCACGTCGTTGACCCATTTGGTTGGCGCTAAGAAAATACACACTACACCGTACCACCCAGCATCGAATGGGTTGATTGAACGCTGGCATCGCACCTTGAAATCGGCATTGATGTGCAACAGGCAAGTTCCGTGTCTCGAACTTCTACCCACTGTACTTCTCGGACTCCGGACCTGCTTCAAGGAAGATTTGGGAGCTTCGTGTGCCGAGATGTTGTATGGAACAACCATCAAAGTTCCCGGAGAATTCTTCATCAACATCGAAATGCCGGCAGATCCCAAGGTATTTGTTGAAATATTTCGAGAGCACATGAGGGGACTGAGACCAACACCGACCGCACACCACAATAAAGCTCGAATGTTCGTGTTAAAAGACCTTTACAACAGCTCACACGTCTACTTACAAAACGACGCGGTGAAACCTCCACTCGAACCGCCATTCGATGGACCCTACAAAATCATTTAAAAAAACTCGATGATAGGCGATTCGTCATCGACGTCAATGGCGTGAAAAAAACCATATCGGTCGAACGGTTGAAATCAGCCTATATCAAGAAAGACGACTCGATTCCCGACAACGAGGAGCCAGTCATACAACCGCATCAATGGGGGTCTTCCATAGACCCACCGAAGAAAACATATGGAAAGAAAGTCTCGTTTCCCTCATCTACGTCCTCAGCATAGACGAGGTCACTGGGAGGGGAGTCGATTTGGCGGTCCGCACCATCCCTGCAACAGTCTCGCTCGGCGGCCGCCGCAAACGTCACGGCGCTATAGTCAATTCTCGAACGAGAAAAGTGGAAGAAGTTCCGTCTCTAGAAAAGTTAGTCATGGTTCAACGTCCGACGCAGGACGCCACAGCTCTAGACCTAGGAGAACAACGTTCGCTCGCGCTCAGTGGTCTTCGCTATCTTTGCATTCAAATACTACGCGCAATTTATAAAGTTCAAAGTTTATATCGTTTTATAATAAAGAAAATCTTGAAAAAAGCGCGCGTGCTCAGTCACCCCCACTTATCCATATCCGATTAAGGAACTAGCAACGACACCTTCTTTACCTATTTGTACTCTGTATGGTGTTAGTAATTTACGAATACACAACACAATCAAATACACTTTATACGTGAAGCTACTGTTCATAACGAATTTCCCGTTAGTATAAGGGTGCTTTCACAACAGTATAGAATTATTCAGTTTTTAATAGCATTCATGTAGAGCGCGCGTGCATGGGTGTACGTATGTGTGTGCTTCGATATAGTTTCTCGTATTTTAGATCACAGCTTCTAGAGATATAGGATGTCCAGGTGTTCCGCTCCGTACTTTCCTGTATCTAGGTGCCGGGCGTGGAAATCCAGGGTGTCCAGGTGTTCCGCTGCGTAGTTTCCTACATCTAGGTGTAAGATGTGGAAGTCTAGGGTATCTAGGTGTTCCGCTCCGTAGTTTCCTGTGTCTAAGTGTCTGATGTGGAAGTCCAGGGTGTCCAGGTGTTCCGGTTCGTACTTTTCCGTATCTGGATGCCGGGCGTTGAAATCCAGGGTGTCCAGGTGTTCCGTTCCGTAGTTTCTTACATCTAGGTGTTGGGCGTGGAAGTCTAGGGTGTCTAGGTGTTCCTTTCCGTAGTTTTTTGTATCGAAATGTCGGATGTGGAAGTCCAGGGTGTCTAGGTGTTCCTTTCCGTAGTTTCTTGTATCTAGGTGTCGAATGTGGTAGTCCAGGGTGTCTAGGTGTTCCTTTCCGTAGTTTCTTGTATCTAGGTGTCGGATGTGGTAGTCCAGGGTGTCTAGGTGTTCCTTTCCGTAGTTTCTTGTGTCTAGGTGTCGGATATGGAAGTCCACGGTGTCTAGGTGTTCCTTTCCGTAGTTTCCTGTGCCCAGGTGTTAAATGTAGAAGTCCAGGGTGTCCAGGTGTTCCGCTTCGTACTTTCCCGTATCTAGATGCCGGGCGTGAAAATCTAGGGTGTCCAGGTGTTCCGCTCCGTAGTTCCTTGTATCTAGGTACTGGATGTGGAAGTCCAGGGTGTCCAAGTATTCCGCTCCGTAGTTTCCTGTGTCCAGGTGTTGGATGTGGAAGTCCAGGATATCCAGGTATTCCGCTCCGTAGTTTTCTGTATCTAGGTGTCGGACGTAGAAGTCCAGGAAAGTGTGTAAGGAGCGCCGCTTTGGCGCTTCGCTCAAACTATAGTATCCTCTCTGATATTCGCACGACCTGAGGTACGTAAATAATCCAGCACACTCTCCTCTCTTACATTTACCACACGGCTTCAACAAGCTGGACACCATTAACGACACTTATATGCATTGAAGATTACATTTTCTTTAAAAATTTGTATGTCTCTATACACTTCTAGAAAAAGGGACTTACAAATTAAATTTATATGCCATGAAACATTTTCAATAACGCAATATATTTTTCTGATTAGTGACATCATAATGCATTTACATTTTATATCTGTGACAATATAGATTTCAGTGCTTAGAGCTTCTGTGTCCCATTGAGCTACAAAAACTTGTGATATCTCCCAAAAATCACTTACGTGTAGAAAACTATGCCAAGTACAGGAATGCTGTGTATTCCTTTAATAAAAAGTATTGATATCAGATTATTGAGTCCAAGTACATAAGTCACTACATGTTTCCCTATTATATGATCTAGCACTGGCCCATCATTTTAGTTGTATTTTCAAAATTTCCTATAACGTTTTCACTACTCTTTTACATTACTACTGCTTCTCGTAGTTGATTATACATATTCGTAATAGTATCGAACAAGGACGAAAGATGTGCTCATATTTATAAAAAATCAAGGATATTACAGAATTACTGCCAAATTATTTCATATAATGATGACACAAACTTATTACGAATATTTGGAACAAATAAATACAATGAAAAAAATATAAATAAAGAAACCTAAAATAAACTTTGAGTAGGGGGAAGTCCTGTAACGCCGGACGACACCTAGCACCGGACATTATTAATATCTGCGAAACTAAAAACCATATTTATATTTTTTTTTTTGCATGGTTTGAACATGTTCAGTGGGCATAGTGATGGGGGTATGTCACTAGCGGCAGTATGCGTTCACGCGCTGCCGAGTTATTTCACGTTTGAGGCTGTATAAATTCGCATTCCTTTCTAATTTTCAAGTATACATATATTATGCAATTGGTCAGTTGGCTGTTTCGCTTTTGACTTGGGATGTTTCTTGATAAGTATTCTTTCAAATAACGGAGAACTAAAGGTAATATACTTACAAGGTACCTAGTACAGATTTTATTATTAAGTTTAACGTGACGGGTCCTTTATACCGAACAAAGATTCTTTGCTCATTTTAGTTATTTATGTAAAGTTTGTTCTTATTTATTGTAGTGGAATTTTACCATAGCTAACTCCCATCCAAAATACTAAAGAAAGAAAAATGGTCGGAAGAAAACATGAAAAGCGCGGTTGAAAAAGTCTTATCTGGAAAGATGTGAGGTAGAGAAGCTGCGACGAAATATGTAATCCCTAAAAGTACCTTGTTCGGTCGTGTGAAAATTTTGAGAGCTGAAGGTGAATGTACATTTAAACCGAAAATGGACAGATTTGATAACACATTCAGAGAAACGAAAATATACTATATGATCACGTGATAGATTTATCTAACAAATGTATGCCGCTGATCTGGCAGAATCCCTAAAACTAAATCATAGATTCAATAAAAAAAAAGTCAGCAGGAAAACATTTTGATTGTGACTTCTTAAAGAGATATCCTCATCAATGACTTTTTCGATTCGTACTGTCAGTGTCCGATACTAGGTGCCACTCTATTGACTCATCACATTTTGTTCCTAAATATAAACTTACTTTTTCGTTAATACCGCATATCGTGACCGTCATACACGTCTATCTGGATATAGTGATTTTATTTACAGGAATATTCCCATGCTTTGTATATTTTATATATTAAAGTGCCCGTCTCACTCAAGGCGAATTATGGATGTCTCAATTGTGACATCTTTTGGAAGATGTCTTCGAATTGCTGCGTTTAAGGCGTCTTTAAAAAGTCGTCTTCAGGACGACTTTATGACATGTGTGCTGACAGAATAAGTACATGGAAATTTTACAAATTATTAAACTAATTTGATTTTTATTATATTAACAGATTACTAATACTTGGAAAAGTGTTGTTAGTATATTTAGAGGTTTAAATGGACTACTTACCGCTCAACTCTTAGCACAATATCGTGACATAATTATAAGAGCGTCATATTACACGAATTCTGAAATACAATCACAAACACTTCTGATCTTTGATTATCACGATACTCTGCAAGAAGATACAAAGATGTTCCTGCAAGAATTAGAGAGTGAAATTAAAAAATCATCAACCAAATCTGAATTCGTATTTAAGAAGAATGAAATGTTTATGAGAAAAAATATAAAAATGACTGGCGCTTTGTTAAATCGAAAGACAGCCTCAAAGTCTGAAATTAGCAACCACCAAAATAATTTGGGAGTACATGCAACAACATTATCATCGGAATCTAATACTGAGGTAAGCAAGTTCACTAATCATACTCTGTTGGGCTACCTTTTTACATACAATGAGTGCATATTTAGTAGAACCAACACTAAGGAACCAAATGCATTTGATTGATTAATTGATCATAAATGTTACAGCGGTTGTAAACTTGTACTAATTGTTTGTTTATTTGGCGTTTTTTCTGATGAATACATCCGTTATAACAAAGTGCCCTGAATTTCACAATTAACTCACATCAAGTTACCCCACTGACAAGGAAGGTCACCTTCCTGTACCCCCACAACCTGGGTCGAAAAAATTACGTTTTGTAGTGCAGATCAAAGTATAAACCCTCACAAAAAATGAGCTGCCCACTTGCATATTTAAGGGGTGAAATTAATTCCTCAAAATCTGTGGTTTTTTCGTTTTTCGCTGATATCTGCGAAAGCAAAATAGATACGGCAAAATTTTAAATAGCAAAGTTATTCATTTTTCAGTGCTCTGCAACAATATGTAATTGAAGATTATATAGAAATTTTTTATTTATTTTGTTTTCATAAAAAACGTTTTTTTATACATTTTTTTTCATCTGATCATCGAAAAAATTCTTATTTTACCTGAAAATTAAACAAGATTGATAAATTTGTCAAATGGAAAATGTTTACATACATATATAGGTTTATTATATTCAGGTATGCTGTTCTACCCTTGTCTTAAAATACTCATAAATCATTTACTTCTAGTTCAGTTTTGTGCATCCATTTTAGTACAAGCGAATAAGTATCAGATGATTTTTTCCATTCTATATAAAACTTTATTTAATATACATGTCTTTATTTTAGTTACTAGAAGCCTTTAACTCATGTATTAGAGCTATTAAGATGTTTAGTACTCATGAAAGCAGGAGGAAACAGCAGGCCATGCACTTATCAGTTTCTTCACTTTCATATTATGGAATATATTCATTACAATAATAATACTCCTCAAAGAAGTGTTTGAGACACAAAGTTTTTTTGCACCACGAACAATCTATTCGTATCTGTTTTGCTTTCGAAGATATCAGCGAAAAAAGAAAAAAAACACCTATTTTGAGGAATTAATTTCATCCCTTAAATATGCAAGCTCATTTTTTGTGAGGGTTTATACTTTGATGTGAACTACAAAACGTAATTTTTTCGACCCAGGTTGTGGGGACACAGGAAGGTGACCTTCCTTGTGAGTGTACTGCATAGTTAAACCTTTCATGCTAGTATTGTATTTATCGAAAGAGTTATAGGATTCACATAAAGTCCTTCCTTTAAAAATATTGGAATCTCTGAATCTGACCTTAAATATCTTGAAAATGAAATAGCAGATTCAATGTAGCGACCTTAAATGCAGAAAGTAATCTGCCTTGCATAAACAATGTTCTTCGGGAATCTTTTGGGTCACTAAACCCAATTTTATAGTCTCGAATTAAAAATAACAAATTCAATCTAGCAAATTAAAATTACAAAAATTGGTCTGCTGGGGTTAATTCGGATCTCTGAGCTCGAATGTTATATCAAAACTGTAGCCCCTGGATATCAATATTTATATCAATCTGACTACATTTTTGAACTTCAGTTGGCTATATTAGATCCGCCATTGAATTTTGGAAGTGAAACGTAATCGATATATAAAATCCCCAGAGATGAGTTTTCATGCAAATCAGACTACTTTTTTATATTTTTGGTTATCATATTTTGATTTCAAAATTTTGTTTTACATTCAATGACCTCAAAAACTGTTTGACATCAGGTTTTATGTAAGAAATAGAAGTTGAGATTCCCTTTTTGTACAAGGTACATATGTTATTATCACCGGTAACTCTTTTTTTTTGCGCGTTTATGCATCAATAATACTCATAGGGTTAAGAGCAGATTATAATTTGAGATGTAATGATAATGAATTTTATTTCACAGGAATACGTTATGATTAGACCCGATTTCAAATTTGATGTCCATCGTTTAACCGAACACCAACTTGAATCTCTTACAAGAAAGAGAGATAATATTCCTGCTATGTATAATGAATTATCACAGTCTGTGTCTCAAGACACGCAACATTTGCAAGAATGGTTTGATAAGAAAATAGAGGAAATTAAAAAAACTGACAATGAACAACTGGTTAAGCTGGGTAATTCGTCAGAAAAAACTGGTATTGATCATAGTAACAACAAGGAGAATAAAGTTCATGCAAAAAGTGTAGAGGTAGATGTTAATAATAAGTTATACTCTTCTGAAGACAGAAAACCTGACGGTACAAATAATTTGCTTGATACAACATCGGGTCTAATTGTTGCCATTCACAATGATGTGACAAATTCTGATTCAATCAAAGAAGAATCACTTACGCATAACGATTCTCTCAATAAAAACCAAGTATCTTTAAATTTGTTCAAGTCTCAAAGATTTATGAAAAATAAGGTTGCAAAATTAGAAATTCCTACAGAAAAGTTAAACATCGACAGCGATAAAGAAATACTGTCAGCGAAAACCAGTTGTAATCGGCAAAGAAATAGTAGTGCAAATCGTAAATCTGATACTTTTTCTCGTATATTGCAACACAGCAGTAAAGGAATAGTTTCCGAAAGTACACGGCCATGCATACAGATGTTTCATAGAGATCAAGGTAAGATATCTACGATTACATCTTCAAACGTTAAAGAGAACTCTGACAAAACTAATCATCGAGGTATTAAACGGAAATCTATGTCTGACACTGAGTTTGAATTTAATCCTCAACGAAAGCGTCGGATAACAATTTCATCTGCAGTTATAACAAATAACACTAATAATGCAAAATCTACTAACGCCGATCAGCAAAAAATGGATAAGGATCTGCCAAATGAAATGGGGCTTAGTCAACGCACAAAAAATGAAATATCACGTCTGCGCATAAATATGGCGTTCGATACTTTACTTACAAATAGACGCCGTTCAAAAGTTAAACAGGATGATAAAATCGAAGAACATGCAAGTAAAATTCATATCGTTAGTGGATCTACAGAACTTTGCGCAAAATTTGATCCAGAAATGAAAGATTCCTCCAAAAAATATGTTGGAATTGTGGAAAAGAATTTAAAGACACATAATAATCAGGAAGTTATTAGAAAAAAAGGAAGAAATTTGAAAAGTGTTGCCCTGAAGGTTGATTCATCGCCTCAAATTATGGAAATTTCTGTTCAACCGAATAGTTGCATAACGAAAAAAATTTCAGAAGATTCGAAGTTTCAACAAAAAATAAAGATGAGAGATAAAGTTTATTTTGATGCTAATGCGTGTACTTTAACAAAATATTCGGAAGTAAATGACAATATTTTCAAGTACCGTCAAGGCAAAGAAAGAAATGCGAATAATATAATTGACGCAAAAATAGTTAGTAATACCTTGCACTCGAATGATGGTTCGATGAATTTTCTGAAAGTAGACCAACAAATTCAAACTAAGATGAGTTTAAGTACTGTTTCACCTTCTACGACTAATGAGCAAATGTCTGATGAATCCGAAGATATTATAGAATGCTCTCAAAGCAGTACCGATGCTTTGTTAAGAGATAAAGACGACTTTGATAGACAATGTTTTATTAAAATTAATAAAATTGAGAAAGTCCAAGTTGGTAGTAGTAAAGAAAATAAATCAACAGATGAGTCTGCGCCTCATTTCTTTAATGAACCTAATACTTATAATTTTAACGTAAATGTTACGAAAAACGATTGTAAGACACAAGACTGTAATCAGATCTTGCAGGGCAAAGAGATCATGCATTCAGATCTTGAAAAAAATATTGATCAAGGTGAGGTCAAACCTGGTTCAATTGAATTTGAATCGGTTCAGGACCCGTCTATTATGTTAATGTGTAATTCATCAGTGAATTATGTATCACCGAAAAAAAATTGCAGCCGCCATTCAAAAAAGAAAACATATGCATTTCGTGGACGTGCAGCTCATATGTTAGGCTTAGTGACGAAACATGCATTAGCTGTGAGTAATAGAGAATCTGTTCGAATGGACAAAGACGGTGAAGTAAATAAAAAATTGTCGAAAGATTTTGACGTTGATACATTAAACATTAAAAAAGACAAACTGTTTATTTATAAAGAAGCTGAAAAAAATGGTAGTCCTATTAGCAGCGGTAGACAGGAAAAAATATTCAACAACATGAAATCTTCAGATTACTATCCATCGACATCAGTAAATCTGTTAAAAAATTTAAACAATGATGGTGATATATCTTCAAGGATGGAGAAAGTGATATTTAATGGATTAACTACAAAAACAAATAATGTCTTAAATACTAAATTCAATGAGACTGATGCACTTCAACTCTCAAAAGAAGAATTACCAATGTTGGAATGGTCTAGTGCTAATCCCCCATCATTAGTAGCATCACCTAGTGCTAGTATTTTAAAACGCCATCAACAGTTTATTCATGATGTTGATACAGAATTGGCTGTTTTGAATAAGGTACTTTTTTCAGATTTATTTTTCGAATTTATTGGATAATATTGCATTTTATTATTTACAGAAAAAACGGGTTAGTTTTGCTGATCCTCCAGTTTCTATGGAAATGGGCTATGAACGTACATTACCAGATTCAGCATGTCGAATGAATAAGTTATCTATTCTACGGAATTTGAACATGGAAAAGGAATCTCCTCTTAAATCAAAACAGAATAAAATGGAAAATGACCAAGTTGTTCAACAGAAAAGAAAGACTGACTCAGAGATTCCAATAGAATTTAGTAGTGCGAGAGATTTTCAGTCCCCGAGTAGTAACAAATTTTTAACAAAAATAGTTAATAACTCAACACATTCATACAGTGTTGCAACAAATACAAAAGTAAAATCTGCATGTGCTTTATACAAGTCAGATAAGAATAACGTCTCTGTAACTCGATTTCCAGTCAATACGTTGGGTTCTGAAGTTAAAATATCATTAGAACCAAAGGGTCCAGAATCTGAAAGTATTACGGAAACTTTAATAATGGAAAGGATTTCTCTTGATATGAATGTACATACTAAAAACAAAAAATTGGAAATTGAAGTTGTTGGAACACAACAAGATTTATTTGATAGCATTGATACAAGTAATGAGTGTAATGAATTGATAGAAGTTAAAATTGACAAAGAGATAAAAGAATTGATAAATATATCTCCGCAAAGTAGCGCGCTGGATTCTGTCAATTTGAACAGATATTCTACCAATGAACTAGATACATTCTCGAAGGAATTTAAATCAGAACTTTTAGAGGATACGATCGATGCAGAGAATCTGACAGAGTTGAACTTGACAGAAATTTCGGATGACATTTATTGTAGTAAATTAATTCGAACTAGTACATGTGCTGGAGAATCTATTGGTGAGCAAGATACATTACCAGTGATGGATTCTGTCTTCGCAAACTTGCCTTTAAGTCAGAATACGCAACCTGGAACGCAAAATGAGATTCAACTTATACAACCGGAATTTTTGGACTCAATACAACCTATCTGTCCTATTCTAGTAGTGTGTCAAGAACCTATTAGTGCGGTTGTTGAAAACTTAACTAATCCTTTATGGTTGCCATATTTGTCTTCTTACTTTACAGATAGAGGTATATGTACAGTAGGCGATCTTGCTCGATTAACGGAGCGCGAAGTTAATAGGATGCCAGTGAAAGGAAGTCCTAAGGTTCAATTTGTTCGAAACGTATTACACCGTTTTCAAAATTCTAATACTGCATCATCACAAACTTTAACAAATTTATCCATAACAAACTTACATTTGATAACTCCGCAGAGCTTGGCACAATCTGTAACTGCGAGTAAATGTCTTGCCCTACCAACGGAACCACATTACGTGAAAATATTACCAAAGATAACTGTTGCTAGTATTGTTAGTGATCTTGTCAAAATACCGGATAAGACCAGTCATGAACATGTAAAAACACAAGATTATTATCAAGTGATACAGTACGTAAACTTAAACATTGCGGCTAAAGCTACATTTCCTGAAATATTAACATCCCACGTTAGTCTATGTTCTCAAAATATGCCTATAAGTACACAACAATGGATAGAATCACGTAACACTACTTTACAGTCATTATCAATGCGTGAAAAAATGTCGCAAACTTTTAAAACTATACAAATAACGTCGGATGATGATACTTCCGTTTCGTCCGTTCAATCGTTTCTATGTACACCTGCAACAAAACACTACGTAAAAACAGCTTCTACGATATCAATTACACGATCGATGTGTAGCGTATCTGGAATTACGAGATCAACCCAAACATCTTCATGTAATTACATGAAGATTACTTCTACAATGCCGACCGAGTTTATACATTCGATTCGCATGTCATCCAACACATGGACCTCTGCAAATCTGTCACAGTGCATACCAACTATCACAACGCAAATGAGTGGGATCACTAGTACTGTCGATTGTGCATTATCGCATTTTCCTTGTAGCACACTACTTAGTGCATCTTGCTCAGATTTACCTGGGAAATCTCAGAAATTAATATCGAACCAAGTTCCACTGATTACATCCATTTACTCTAGTACTAATCCTTTATTCACTGGATGTTCGACGCCAAAGGCAACAAAATGCGTCACTACGCAAATATCACTGGTAGATCTTCTCGATAAAATTGATGTGAATTTGATAGTTGAAAGTATGATCAGAAGATGTGCACCTCGCAATATACTTGACGCATATAAGGTAGAATGGATTTAACTTTATTTTTATAGTACATATACTTCGGTATATTCTATTAACGTTCGAAAATTTCAAACTCTTAAAAGTAATTATGTATAGTTTACTATATATTTCATTCGTTATGCAAAACGAACAAGTAAAGATTATTTAACTGTAAATAAACCTCTCATTAGCGTTATTCTCTAACATATATATATGCATTATTTGCATGTTGTCTTTGAATTTCTCTTTTTGTTTCATTTATTTTAGTTGAGATGATAAACGCTTAGAAACTATTACGAAATTGTGTGAAATATTTTTCGATATAAAGATTTGCTGAATGAAATTTTTTGAAAATTTGTATATAAGTAAATTTAGTTATCATATAGATATGTATACTTGCAGTAATCGCACTATTTTTTTTTAATAATACACTATATTTTTTTCCCTATAGATAAAAATGAAGCATTTACATAAACATGAATTAGTAACAGAAACTATAAAAATGCTTGGCATCGAATCAAATTATATTGAAACAATTCTGGAGACGGTCTGTCATTTATCGGGTGTTAATAAACTTCTTATGAGATTGCCGCTTATTTTCAACACAGACAAGCAATTCTTTGTCCAAGTTTTAAACGCCTATCGAAATAAGCTCCATGTAAGTGAATACATTAGAGCACTAGATTTCGATGAAATGAAGGATACTACTTGTCGTAAGTGTTCCTGTCTTCAAGCTTCTGAGACATTATCTAATACTGTAAAGACTGACGAGATTCAAGAGATCACAGAACTCGTTACAGATGTCTCCAATCTAAATACTATGGTCAAACAGATACAAAAGAATAGTTCCGATGTTATTACAAAAGTATTAAAATCAGAATCATCTGTTGTATCCCAAGATATATTCGATAAGTTATGGGATATTGATTCCATAGTATCACGTATAACTAAAAATGACATGTCCAGAGATAACCTATTAAAAATATACAATGCTGTAAGTACAAAATTAAATACTCGTGACCTGCTGGATGCTTTTCACGACACAATGAGAAGCAAGTTAAAGAGTGAAGAAAGGACAGAGGATCAAATCTAGCAATTTTGTCAGAAGTGCTTGTTTTACAATAATTAATTTTAAAGCACACACCATCGTCTAGTATTATTTTACTTATATTAAAAATTATATATGTATAATCGGATTTAATGTTTACTTTTTGTACGATCTAAACAATAATACACCTATATTAGAATATCTACGAACTTTGATTTCTATAAATTTGTTAATTTAAGTATGTAAATGATTTTCAAAACAGATAATATTGCAAATAAAAACCACCGGTATCACCTTGGAAAATCAATTTGCTCACAGAAATAAAAAATAAAATTTTCAAAGTACATCCACGCGGAACATGCAGGCCTAATCTGAAAAGTACCTTGTAAGGTAATTTAACAAAAAATTTCCAAAGTCAAATCAACACCTGTATATAATTTATTTTAAATCGACAAATACAAGAATATAAATTATATTTATTAATAATATATTAATAATTGCATATAAGCAACTCATAATACATAAAATTTGTCTCAGATATGATCAGACATATAATTTTAGAAGAATTCACTATGAAACTGTAAATTCTATATAAAAATTATATTTTCAAATTGTAGTGTTATCAATTGAGCAATATGCCACGTCAGAAGCGATGGAATGTATCAAGGCATCGCCGTCGCACGTTTTGATGTATCATGGAAACAAATCCTGAAGTTATACCTTTCTCTAAATTCCATAACAAGATATAAAACGGCTGACGGTTTTACGGCGTGTCAGACGAACAGAGTGAGCATGTAGAGAATTGAGTGAAGCATTACTTCGGTTATTTATAATAGTCCAAGCACCAGCCTCGTTATCGTATCCGTTGATCTCGGATAACCTTTTAAGTTAAAAGTTTTGAAACGGTGTTACTCAGCCCCCTAGCATGAACTGGTCGGGTCGGTTCTTTAAATGTTCGTCACCACCGTCACGAAATTTCGCCACACGTTGCGCTACTAGTTTTCTGCTCAGTGTCCTTGATATGCGTTTAATACGAAGAGATCAGTCCGAGCTTGCCAGAAAAATACTAGCGCCACGTAAAGGGCGATAGAGAAGTTAAAAACGCGGTCAGAACGAGACATTTGTTGTATGTAGATAGGGGCGAGCACGTCATAATCTAGTGTTGCCTAAATTTAGTTTCATGAATCCTTTCGCTGGTATAAGCGTGTAAACACGTCTAATAATTGACACAATATAAGGCGCTACGGGCACATATACACGTTTACTGAGTTGGGCAGTGAGGGCATTACGGGCATATTTACGCGACTAGTGTCTTTATTTGTTGAAGACATTGAAGTAAGAATTCAAGAACGGATTTTTCACAGTGCTGAAATGCAGCAAAACCAGTAAAGTATTTCGCGCAGACACAAACGATTTGTCAAAAGTATTTAACACCGAAAAGGTTAACGAATTATTCCATTTTGATACCAGAGTTGAAATTCTAACTTTTAACTCACCAGCGAGTCCCAAAAATTACTCGACTTTGGTAGTTACACTTGGTATTCTCATCGAGAATCACAACAGTAGTTTTATCCATAGACGAGTTCATTACACTTATTTTAGGCAATATTATTTGTATAGAGTTCATATTTTCATAACGTACTTTTTGTAAAATTTTAGATTGGATCATATCGCGACACATTTTGGATCTGGCGAGGGCACGGCTCGCAGACTCTTTAGTCGAGTCAACTCTTATACTTGTGTTTGGAATGAAATATCTTATGAACCGCTACACATGAGAAAAACTTATTGATACATTTACTATATGAATTGAGGGTTCTGAATAGATTGCCACCAAACCAATACGATCGGTGTATGAGATCAGAGCGTATTAAGATGACGAGCGAGATGATTTTATTTCAGTTCCGTCGTCGTCGTCGTTGCCGTAGCCAGCGCCCTGCGGGCCCGTGCCAGGAATTTCAAAGTACTTACTTTGAACGTACTAATACTCTAATATTATATGTTTGTTACTAAGCTTTTACCGTGATTATTTTTGGCGAGTTATTCTTAATATGCTCTATATAGAAAGTTGACACTAATTTTGAGTTCGATGACTGGCATAATGGACGCAAATTTATATCAAGAAACACATGGACTCGCCAAGTAGTACTCAATAAGGAATTACCTAAAGTTTTAACAATTATTAAATGACCATTAAATCATAATTAAATACGGAAAGCAGTAATAATGTAAAAGAGTAATGAAAGCGTTATAGGATATTTTGCAAATATAATTAAAATGATGGACCGGTGCTAGATCATACAACATGCAGATATGTAGTGACTTATGTACTTGGCACTAATATGATTTCAATACTTTTTGTTAGAGGAATTCACAGCACTCCTGTACTTGGCGTAGTTTTTTTACATATAAGTATTTTTTTGGGGGTCAGAATAGAGCACAATCCCTATAAAGTCAACTATGTGAAACATTCAGCGAGCGGCTCCACGATCACGATTGCTGTTTGCATAGTTTTCTACAGCTTACCGTACTCTAGCGTAACCTCTTGAGGGGTCCAGTTCAAAATCTACGGTGAGGAACACGAAGACTCCAAAATCTACGTCCAGGAACACGAAGACTCCTATTTCCACCGAGACGCCTATTTTCTAGGAATTTATGGGGGATTTTGGAAATTTTGTGTTACATTCCGAGAATTTTGCGCTCGATTCTAGGAATCGCACACGATCGAGAACCATCTAGAACATTCTAGAAGTTCCGACGTTTCGTGTCTTGTCGCTCGAACCGATGAAAAACAATTCCAGGAAAACCTTAGAAGCATCGTGCAGGTTCTTCCACATCGAAACGCTTCTCGCAACCTTTCTGTAAGCGCAGTGGCGGGGTCAAAGTCATTCTAGAAAAATCTATATATTGGTTGTTCAACTGCGCAATACCGAACGTTATCTCGCAGAGTCGTGCGTCGAGAATACAGTCCCTCATCCTCCGAGGTGTCAAACTACTCGTACGAGATATGTAAGCGCGCGACGAAACTTCGTAGGAGAAGGACTAAGGTTTATCCGAATATTCTAAAACGTAAGTCGCTCCGTTTGGAAGATGCATCAACCTTGACATTGATTCCAGGAATCTCTATCGGTGATTCAATTCCTAAAAATTTCCGAAACCGCCAATCCCCGTTTTAACCCTTAAGAGTTTCCTATAAAAGGAGGAGCTGAACGTGCCTTCATTAGTCTGCTGTGACAATTCGATCGATGTTAAATAAGAGTAAACAGCATGAGCTCAGAGTTCGAATACAGTTACTATTAAGGAATATCGCGGAAATGAAAAATTTGATCGAAGCTAAAAGAGATTATAACAGCCTTCTACGAAATCTAAAAAAACTTCATCTACAGTAAAAAATGGATTTCTCAACAATTGACAAAGTCAGCAGTTTGTATAACTATCTTCTGACAAAGAAATTGGCTGAGTTGGAAGCCCCGAAAGAATAAAAAATTACCAGAATAAGAAGAATTCAAACCAAATATGGGATGAGCCTGATCTTCAATGTAGAAGACAGCTTTTCAACCTTTCTACCTGCACGGATGGCAAAAGCGTTGAATGACGACGAGGATCTATTGAAGAAGATGATGCAAGACTGTGAAGAGAATCGAGTCCTCATACGTTATCTCGGCGAGCGGTTTAACCAGATTGAGTTCCAATGTCTATAAACTTTGTACTCGTGCTTCAACTACTACGTATACGTGATAAATAAATATACAACTTATTATATCTTATATCTTTATTCATAATCAAAAAAATATGTATTCCGACGACCAGTTCCTTAACAATTTCACATTTTCAGTTATGCAATTAAAATGTGGAGCATGGTGATTTGTACATCGAGTAAACGAGTTTTTGCGCAATTTTTGTAACGAAGGGCAACCTAGATCTCCCAGATTCACGATGTGCTCGGAGCTGCCAATGAAATTTTTCAACCAAATTTTTTTCTCCAATCCTTTTACATAGATCTTAGATGCATTTTGAAAGATGACTCGAAGAATGTTTTCAGCTTGATTATAAACAACGTCCTCAGCGCTCCAGGATATACAATGAAAGTTGCGCTCTAACCACAAATTTACAATTTTATATTTAGCCTTTACATGCTTCCATGGACAAGGTGGTTGAAACAGAAACGTTGCAGGCTCGGAAAAATTGCTGCCAGCTCCAATCACGGATTGCTCCTTCAGGACAAACTCGTTCGTGGGTTTCTTGAAACCTTGTACGTCCACGATGAATTCCATTTTGATGAACTGCGCAGGGAGAGACGATTGCAGACGATTCTTCAGCAAAGGCTGAGGATGTTTGCCATAGTACGTAGCTTGAAAGTTTACATACATCTTGTACAGCATAGGGATAACATTGCGAATTCAAAAAGAGCTTAACGTCTCTCATGTTGCAGTGGTCAAAGTGACTAGCGTTCTTATTTTTCTTGTTCTTTCTGTTCGTCTGAAAACCCAGTATCACGTACCGTGGTTTTTTTCAACTGAGTCGACGTTTTGACGGTCCACACATGTTTCGAAGTGGTGGGGAGTAGAGGGTACTCGTACAGCTCCCAGGTACGAAAGCTCACGGAGATGGGCGCATCCCTCCCGATAAATCTCAGCAGTTGTATCTTTTGTCGTTCCGACACCTTTACGTACGGTATCAGCCATTCCAATTTATGAATTACGACTTTGCATTCTTCCGGAGCAGTTTGCACTATTGCATTGACACCGCTCTTTGCTCTCGTTAGAATCAATTCGTGCTTAGCGTTAATGACGATCTTGCGATAATCTTCGGCGAAACCCAAGATCAGATTCAGCGGTATGGGTACGTCGAAGTAACCGTCTGCATTGATCAATTTCTGCCGTTTTTTGACGTCGAACCAACTGGCGTTCTCCATCAAGGATCGTTGACCGGGACTCAGGGAAGCATATCCCTTCATGACACCTGTGAGACCGACGTTCTTGTTCCGATCGATCTCTATAGCATTCATTTCGTAGTGAATCTCTTCAAAGAGATGGCAAATGGCATTGTTGACCAGAGTTGTGTTCGCAGTCGCTGTGGACCCATCTTTCTTGACCAGCTTTCCATATACGTACACCGAACTTTTGCTCGGTAGTAAGCATAGGTCTTGATATTCATCCTTCATCGTTGTTGAACGTTGACGAGGCGTAAGGTTGTTGCGCATGCGTTTTACAGTGTGCTATAGATTCATCGAAGACGATGGGTGTCTGAATGTTCAGCGTTTCTTCCTCCATGGTACGCGGCGGACGAAAAGAATGCAACAGAACGAACGACGACTGATCCCTCTTTGGCATATCGGTCTACTGTTATAACCGTTGCCAATTTTCCTATTGTAGACGATATCCATTATCGCATGGATCTGACGTGCAGCCTGATCGTTATAAATTCTCCTTGAAAATTCACCAAGTCTGTCTTAAAGCTGCTGTCTGGCTGGTTTAGCTATACAGGGTGTCCCAAAATTACCTGACCAACGGGGTATGGTGGTGTTCGGGAGGCACCACTAATCACGAAAATGACCTTCTTTTTGTCCGGAAGGTCATAGTTTTTGGGATGGGATCACGTCAAAGTTGAC